TCCCGGATTCGTCTGAATGTGGTGGTTTTTGAAGCTGTGACTCCTGCCTCAGTCCACTCTTTCTGGATCTCTGCCAGATTCTTGAATCTTCTCTGTTTGAGAATCCGCTGAAGCCCACGGTCATCTCTTTTGCTAGTGCATCTTCTCCTGCCACATTTTTCCCTTCCACTAGACTTTCCATTGATATGCTTGGACACAGCACTCTGTGAACAGCCAGCCTCCTTAGCTATAAACTTTTGAGGTTTACCCATCCTATGGAGGGTATCAATGATGGTCTCCTGGGCAGTTGTCATGTCTGCAGTCTTCCCCATATTGAACCGAACTGAGACAATTGAACCAAACCAAAGCAATTAAATAACACCTGGGGAAACCTGTGCAGGTGCTTTGAGTTTAGTAGATGATTGGTGTGTGACACTCAGTTTAAAACATTCATGCCCTGATGATTTCTTCACAGTATTCTAATTTATTGAAATCCTGTTTTTGTGGGTTTTATGAGCTGGAAGCCAAAATTATGTAAAAAATAAACAAATAAATACCTGAAATTGATTAAATTGTGGGCCATGAATCTATGAATATATGAAAGTTTAACTTTCTGAATGGAATTATGGAAATTAAACAACTTTTTCACGATATTCTAATTTTTTGGAAAGGATCTGTATACACAACATCACTTTTCTGACTCATTAATTTAAAAGTTCGTTAGAGCTTCTTACGGTGCATAAATGAATGAAGGAGCATATATATGTATATAAATATATATATATATAAATTCAATATAGCAACTTTAAAGTTCTACCCTAAGCCAACCTCTTGTGTGATTTTGTAAGGTTATACATCTTGTTAATGCTGCTCTCAAAACATCTAATTATTAAAACAGGTTCTGTCTAAATATCCTGACATTAATAAAAAAAGAGCTTAAGATATTTTCTATATCACGTCGGACTTTTATTTATACATTTTTTAAACCATTAGTGTCTTAAGTTAAACCTAACTGAACTTCCTCCTCGGTTTAATAACGAGTCTCTGGGTTAGGATAGTTATCCGTCACTCATTTCCGGTTTTGCTTTCCGGATTTGAAGTCAATAGAATGCTACAAACTTTCTTACAAAATAAAAAATAAAAACGAAAACGCCGGCGTTAATGTTGATAGGATGCGTTCTTTATTATGTTGCAGTTACTCTGTTAGGAAAAGGCGAAGAACAAAACGCTATAAAGATAAGAAAGAACCCATTTCTGGTTCTAGACGTCTTTATATGTGGGCGTGCTTATATAGCCGTGACCCCGCGGGGGGGGATGTTTCCACAGCTTCTTTAGAAAATAAACACCAAAACGTCAAGATGGCCCCACGGTCCGTAATCAAGGGTGTGCTGCTCGTGTCTTTTTCGGTTTTCCTCACACTCGTGTTGGGTGTCGGTCTCCCTGCGCTGCTCAACGCCCTGATGAGGCTGTTGGGTTTACCGGAGACGAGCGTCAGCGAGTGCATAGTTCTGCTGTATTTGTGTTTCGTACTTTGTGTTGCGACGCCTCGAGTTCCAAGAGGATTTGAGAAGGTAGTTTTTCTAACACGGAAATAAAGTGGTACTCTGTATATACTCTTATGTCATACTTTTATTACACAATTTAGTACACAATAAAGGGTCATGTTGGAGTAAGACTTAATCGACTTGTTCTCGCAGTAGTAGTGCATCATTATTCGGTTGTATGGCGTAATACGTGTTGCATGCTGCATTTTACAAGTTCATACATTAGCATTAAAATAATGCAAATCATACAAATGTCAATATTTTACACACACTGAAAATAAGGCAAATAAATTGCATGCCGTATAATAATAAATGCCAATATTTGTAAGGCTGCTTGGAACTTAATTGGCCCAGTAGTAACGATTGCGAAGAATGTAACTACAGTTAATGACACATTAATATACTTTTATTTCTGTTTATGAATACACATATTTTCCACGCTAAAAGAAGTCAAAGTCAACCTTATTGTACATTTTGCAGCACGTACAGTACATGAGGTAAACAGTACTTCCGTTGTCAGTCCTTCACTCACATAGGGGAAATATAAAAACAAAATCCAAACAATTTATTAAAAACTTTATTACACACTACAGGACAGTCATATATTTACCAAAACATTACACTGTAGTCAGTCTTAGTTGAAATATTAATCAGTAGAATGACCATTGTTGTTGTTGTTTCCTGCAGGTCAATGGAAAAGCTGTGTTAATCACAGGCTGTGACACTGGGATCGGCTACGCTCTGGCCAAACATCTGCACCAACTGGGCTTCACCGTATTTGCTGGGTGTCTGCACAAGGTAAGATGCTTTGGAGCACAACGATGTTTCCACAGCTTCTTTAGAAAATAAACACCAAAACGTCAAGATGGCCCCACGGTCCGTAATCAAGGGTGTGCTGCTCGTGTCTTTTTCGGTTTTCCTCACACTCGTGTTGGGTGTCGGTCTCCCTGCGCTGCTCAACGCCCTGATGAGGCTGTTGGGTTTACCGGAGACGAGCGTCAGCGAGTGCATAGTTCTGCTGTATTTGTGTTTCGTACTTTGTGTTGCGACGCCTCGAGTTCCAAGAGGATTTGAGAAGGTAGTTTTTCTAACACGGAAATAAAGTGGTACTGTGTATATACTCTTATGTCATACTTTTATTTTAAGTACACAATAAAGGGTCATGTTGGAGTAAGACTTAATCGACTTGTTCTCGCAGTAGTAGTGCATCATTATTCGGTTGTATGGCGTAATACGTGTTGCATGCTGCATTTTACAAGTTCATACATTAGCATTAAAATAATGCAAATCATACAAATGTCAATATTTTACACACACTGAAAATAAGGCAAAGAAATTGCATGCCGTATAATAATAAATGCCAATATTTGTAAGGCTGCTTGGAACTTAATTGGCCCAGTAGTAACGATTGCGAAGAATGTAACTACAGTTAATGACACATTAATATACTTTTATTTCTGTTTATGAATACACATATTTTCCACGCTAAAAGAAGTCAAAGTCAACCTTATTGTACATTTTGCAGCACGTACAGTACATGAGGTAAACAGTACTTCCGTTGTCAGTCCTTCACTCACATAGGGGAAATATAAAAACAAAATCCAAACAATTTATTAAAAACTTTATTACACACTACAGGACAGTCATATATTTACCAAAACATTACACTGTAGTCAGTCTTAGTTGAAATATTAATCAGTAGAATTACCATTGTTCTTGTTGTTTCCTGCAGGTCAATGGAAAAGCTGTGTTAATCACAGGCTGTGACACTGGGATCGGCTACGCTCTGGCCAAACATCTGCACCAACTGGGCTTCACCGTATTTGCTGGGTGTCTGCACAAGGTAAGATGCTTTGGAGCACAACATTCAAGTTGTTTTTTAGGGCAGGTAGGAGGAGGAAGGTCACCAGGTGGAACTGATATCAGGTTTCTGTTGCATGAAGTAACCAGGGTGTTACCAGCCAATCGTGGCATAGATCAGCCTACAGCTTCCTTTATGTCAGTACTGCTCAAATAGTAGGGCAGGGCGCAGTGAGGTGACAGAAGGGGGTGAGGGGCTTCCAATGGAATATTTCCTGCTGGACATAAGTGTACCACTGCTGTAATGCTTGAATGATAACAAGCCTCCAGTCACTAGGTGGCAGCAACTCAAACAGTGGTTTGTACAGATAATAATATACGTTATCAGGTTCTCAATAGTATTTCAATTCGTGCAGGTGTGGGTTGGGGGGAGAGTGTGAAAACCTCAAGGGGGGCATGACAGGAAATAATTAAGTCAGCTTTATGCTGACGAAGCAGTATTTAACTTTATCTTCTCAGTGTAACGGCACAGTTGTGTTCATTTATTCACGAGGCTGAAACTAGTGTTTTCACTATCAATCGAGCTTTCTGTCCATCGAGCTCCTTTTATCTGTAGTTGGGTTGATATATTGTTCTAACGTTGATGACGCAGGATGAAGGTGGCGAAGGTGCCAAGGACCTGGAGACGCTGCATTCAGATCGAATGAAGGTGTTGCAGCTGGACGTCTGCAGTGAGGAGCAGGTGAACCAGGCTGTCGACTACGTCAGGGAAAACCTGGAGGACTCTGAAAGAGGTGGACAGCACCGTCCTGTCATCACTGCCCCAGGTGAGAGGAGAGAGGAGGAAACACAGAGCTAATCTTCTCTGTCACCGTCTGTCACCCAGGTCTGTGGGCCGTGGTGAACAACGCTGGCATATCGACGTTTGGAGAAGTGGAGTTCACTGCCATGGACACCTACAAGCAGGTATCAGAGGTCAACCTGTGGGGCACCGTCAGGGTCACCAAGGCTGTTCTGCCACTGATCCGCAGAGCCAAAGGTCAGAGGCCTCTAAACCTCACTGTAATCCATGTAAACATTATTAACATCAGCCAATGAAACAACATGGATTTTGCTGCATTTCACCAACATTTGCCTTAAGAACTCACTGTGTTAATGTTGATTCTGAAGAATGTAAAAATCCTCTTAGGATGTGGTGCCGCGGACGCCTGATTTCAGGAACAATGGGAACAAGTATTTGAAGTTACAATATAACATTTAACATCTTTACTTTTTTAAATATTTTTTTATAGAACCATAATCTGGGTCTTTGGGATTGTTTAAGATGTGGTCCACATGTGAATACCAGATGTGGGCCACTGAAGGCCCAAAACTCATTGCTCTACCATATGGGTGACATGTGTGGCTCAATCACTGGGACTTTCTTTAGTATCTGGAGACTAATTAAAATATCACTACAAATTTAGAATGGAATGTAATCACTTGCTGAGCCAAAACATTTTTTTAAAGCAATGTCACATGATGTTTGAATCGTTGGACCCTGGTTTGTCTCTGAACATCCTCCGTCTGACCACAGGTCGTGTTGTGAACGTGAGCAGCCTGTTTGGCCGGATTGGAAACCCCGCACGTTCCTCCTACTGCGTGTCCAAATACGGCTTAGAGGCTTTCTCCGACTGCCTGCGTTATGAGATGAAGACGTGGGGAGTCAAAGTGTCCATCGTCGAACCGGGAAACTTCTTGGCCGCCACCGGCATCCTTACACGTGACACTGTGGCCGCCATGGCCAACAGGCTGTGGAGCGAGGCCTCCGCCGTTGTGAAGGAGGATTATGGGAAAGCACACTTTGAGCGACAGGTGGCTGCGGTGCGCTCTCACTGTGGCAGCGGGGACAAAGATGTGGCCCCCGTTCTGGATGACATCACAGACGCCATCATGTCCAAACGTCCTTACACACGGTATGTCCCGATACAACCACACTGGTGGATCAGACTGCAGTTGATGTCTCATTTGCCCGCTGCCGTCTCAGACCTACTGTATATCTAAAACAGGAAGTACAAGTTGTTACGGTTTCATTTCCTCTATGGGTTGCAGCAGATGTTTCACTCTTTAGAGTAACAGGCGCTACTCGTTAGCATTCCAAATCAATCCATGATTAGACCCTTAGAAAAATCAGCTCTAATCTGTGGAGTTTAAAGTGCGGTAATTGATTTGTTTGTAGTTTGTAGATCTCGTCTTTTCTTTAAAATCATTTGCAGTGTTTTTTTTCTGATGAGGCTCATTTAGATCTGTTATTGTAACCACTGACAGTACCATAGTTCCAGGAAGTTTTAAGGAGTAAAGACAAATGTGTTTTCTTTAGCCATAAGGAAGTGAATGTTTTTCCACTTTTTTTAGGCTGTGGCACACTAGGGGTTGTACAGTGAGAACAGCAAAGCTGAAGACAGAATTAGATAATGAACTGAATCAGTACTAGTGCCTTTTTGAGTGAAAGTTTAAGAATTAGATAATGAACTGAATCAGTACTAATGCCTTTTTGAGTGAAAGTTTAAGGGTCTTAAGGTGGACTAGATCATGGCAATGGCACAGAACCATCTCGGTTTTGGGCCTGATCGGGTTAATATTAGAATTTGTTTCTCAAATCATAATGCTTCAGCTTCAGGGCTCATTGGCACCAGGCGTAGGACCCCTGCTGTTCTGTTGTGGTTGCCTCCGGAACGACCCGAGGACATTGACTGTACATCTTTGATGGTCAGATTTGGCTCAGTTTGACTCAGAAATTATGCAACAACAACACAAAAGCATTTTGTCTCACATGCGCAGTCAGATCTCTGCAATAGTCGGCTCAGCTGGGCATCCCTATCCTTATCCTTTTCCCTTAAACATGTTTTTATCAGGAAAATCCAAGTATCAATCTGATCTTCTTGGTAACACTTTAGTGCTTTTGTGCTGCTTCCACATTTGGATGGTGTCCTTTGTCTTGCAAAGCCTGGTTTATGTGTATGAGGCGAGAGAGTTTGAATGAAATTATGTGAATTATTTTTCAATATATTATAATCCCTGTGGTATATTGTAACAAATTATTTTAATTAAAGCGATCGAAAAGTGACAGATTGGCTCAATTGCGTCTCATTTGTGAACAGTTTGGGTTTTTCTAGTAAGTGCTATGGCACATATTTGGCCAGCAGAAGGAGCCAAAGTATCAGCTAAACGAAACGGCTGATCGCTGCCTGCAGCTAAACAGACAATAGTTGTTTTCAATTATTATTTTACGTTTTATGACGTAACATTTAGAATGTAAATTTTTAATAATGTTAGTGTTTAATGTGATTTTTAATTAAATTATATTCTCAAAACAGTATATATTTTTTCAATATTACACTTTGCTAGTTTTGCGACGCAAATTAATTTTAAATAATTTCTATTACTCAGTCAAGTTCTTAAATTAGTGTTTTTGCAACGTATAAACTTTTTCTCACATTTTCTAACTTAATTTGGTAACGTTTTACAAAACACCATTATAAAAGATTGTTACGGTTGCTAGCTCATTTGATTTCTCCATTAATTGAACGTTTCCTTTTAAAAATACAGCTTTAAGCAACTGTATATGAACGAGTACTTTAGATATATTTAAATCTCAATACTATGGTAACAGCAGAGGTAAAGCAAACCTGTAAAGCGAAAATCCGATTGTGTGGGTTTTCTGGGGTGCTGGTCACACTCTGGCCACAAGGGGGCAGCAGCGCCGTTCTGGTGCCTGTTCATCGTCCTCATCCATGCTTAAACATGGATAATCTGCTGTGAAAACAGGAACACAGAAAATTAATTAAACGTGTTTTTAAACATTTAATCTTTATACTTTTGAATAAAAGTTTAAACCGAGTAAAAAACAGAGGAAACGGAAGACGTTATCATTTTTAATGTCGTTTTATTACGTCTTCTGCAACACTAATAAACTCTTCTAAACCATTACACCTGAACACATTTCCTCCCGGAGAGGACAGTATTAAGAGCATGACATTACATTATTCATTATTATTATTATTACTGGATTTTTTGTTTTGTTTTTATTATTATTTCACAGCACTGCCTTGACCTGTAGTTTTTCTTCTCTCTCGCCTCATACACATAAACCAGGCTTTGTGAGACAAACTGACGACACCATCCAAATGTGAAGCAGCACAAAAGCACTAAAGAAAATACCACAATTACAGGCCACTTGTCTTCTGTGTTACCAAGAAGATCACACTGATACTTGGATTTTCTTAATAAAATCAGTCACAACTGGCTCTGGCTCGAGTCTTTAACCTTTTCTGTACAGCTGCGAGGCTCTGCTCATGCGGCCTTCGTTACATTTTTCTGTAACTCTGTTTGTGTGTATGGGTCACACATTTATTATAATTATTAAAGAGGCTAAAGTGTAAAAAAAAAAAAAATCAACGAGCGTCTCAACACTAGTTTTATATGAAATACATACAAAAAAAAGAAAGAAAACATGACAATCTTTACCACCAATAACGTGATACCGTTACTTGGTAAGTGCTCATTTCTAAGAGATTTAGGTCACGGCTACATCACAGTCGGGGTTAGGATTCTGTCTTAACAGCATGTGAAGTTTACAGCGTTTATGTTAAGGTCACTTAAAATCACAGACTAATAAGGTTAAAAAAAATAATGACGAGAATCCAAAAGAAAATGTGACTGAAATGGCACACGGCCGTGGTGAGAGGAAAGAACTGGATAAGGGAAGAACCTGGGACGAGAGCTAAAACTTTGGTCAACAGAAAGCTGTGAAGGCACGTTTTTTAAAATCATGTCCTAAATACTTTAAACTGGGACACGGGGAGTTTGTGGTTTTAATTGGGGAAGATTACGTCAAAAACAGAGTGAAATCAGCTGCAGGAGGGACAAATAGGGAGGGACCAAAATAACTGTTAGGATTAAGGTTTTTAAGTCGTCAAACTTAAAACGTCAAACTTGGAGTTTTCCCCAGGCCACACTCCTGACATCAGTCATTCTGACTTAATCTAAATAATTTAATTTTGCCCTTAAGGTATGTTTTTCCCAAATTTAAGTATTTATATTAAACAAATATACATTTCCTTAAATATCTGTAGTATTTGTAGTAAACTGTAAACACTGATGTGGTCCTCCAGGGAGAGGCTGAGTGCCACTAGGGGCCCCCGTCTGCTTATTTGAGTTTGAGACCCCCGCCTTAAAAACTCCAAACTTGACAACATTTCTTAGTTTTGTTCCCAGAAAGTGTGAAAAGATAAACGTGTGTCTGTTACTGTGATCTGATTCAGTCACTCCTGTGTTGTTTTAGCTCATAACTTCACACTCATGGGATTTTCCTAAGGAAGGAAAACAGAAAGTTAGTTTTTAAATATGGAAATGACTCAAGGTTGAAGTTGTCTGTTTTCCCCAGTTTATAACAAAAAAAAACAACACTGTCTATTTGGAACACTTAATACAGAACATGGGAGGCTCCGTCATGTTTTGGGAATGGATTTTAGCAGATGGTGTCAATGTTAGCCCGATGACGCTTTGTTATACACTGATAAGACAGACGGCTGATGGTGTGTTAGCATCAAAAATGTTGCCTTTTCTATCGTTGATATATTTCAATGTATGTTCACAGGTGTTGCAGAAAAACAGTTCACCATCTGTGACACTGTTTGGTCAAATACAATGACAAGACGCGAGGACACAGGGGGACCACACTTTTAGTATCCCTACGTGCCCCTACTGTAAACTTCTTCTTCTCTGATGCATCAGCGTTGGCCTCCGTTCATTTTCTCCACCCTAACAAGGCTGGGAGCGGTATTCCAGATACTCTTATCCAGTGGAACAGATTCTCCGTGGCTCCTCTCGGGATTTTAATTCACTTTCTTTTTTTTTTCTAAGGCTCATTTTTCCATTCCTCCTCTGTCCAATCCCTGTCCCGTTCCCTCTCTCTTTCTTACGTTCACTGCACTTAGGTCCAACCGACCCCAGCTGGAGAACTCATCATCTCACACATCACGACGACCATTATCATCATCTTTACCCACGACGCTGTACTTTTTTTTCTCCCCAGAGCTCACTGCTGGAGCGGCCTGCGGCCAATCGGTGCTAACTAACCTTCAACGTCCAACAGCTACCTGGTCCGTCCTCTCTCTCAACAAACAGCCTTTCACTCCAGACTTTACTGTAAATATGAACCATATGTTTCTCTCTGACTCCACAGGATGTGCATTAGGGCCCGTGTTTCTCCATCTAGGAGACTTCAGCTAAGCCTTTTCCCAAATAAATGTTCTGATTTTTCCCCCCAGCTAAAGTCAAACATAAGGAATTGCTTCCTGAAAATCCTCTGTGGCGGCTGGAGGAAGAGGGTGTGTCTCAGTTTGATGTATATGAGGAAGGCAACCACGGAAACACGACCGCTGGGCGACCTTTTACTCCCTCGTTCCCTCCTGATCACTAATACAGAATTGGTGACCTCACCCACTGGACTGCCTCGACATCCCAGACCTGGTCAGTGTGCTTTTGCAGTGTGATTAATGGAAACAACCTGACACACAGACAAACTACATCCATATCTCTTTTACAGTCGTGGTGTGAGGCCTTTTTTCCTGCCTGCATGCAAATGTTGCAGAGTTCCCACTGATTCTGGAGCCTCGGCCTCTGAACATTCACAGTAAGTAAGGTTTGTCACTTTTTATCTTAAAATCTAAAAAACAAACACGATTCTGGGGGTTGAAGTCTGAAATATCCACAGGGCTGTCTAAAGTATTTCTGATCCAACAAAGTCCTCAGATGAACTAAACAGGACAAGATGCTAGTTTGTTGTACACTGTCAGCAAGAATAACTAGAATGACTGTGAACCTTTAACGAAACAGCTTTAGAAGACACCTGCCCTGAGATATTATGTCATTTTGTTGTTAGGAAGCAAGCTAAACCATCCTCATGGATGGAAATAAAAATTTACATCAACTTCTTTTAAAAAAAAGGCAAATTACAAGTTACAAACCCCCCCTCACCTCCAGAATCGTAAGCTGTACTGTTTTCTGTTTTTGTTTTGCTAATATGTAGTTTTGCCGTTAGCAAGCGAGCTCCTTGTAGGTAAAGTAATACAACACTGGTTTATTTAAAAATTTGCCTATTTCTGTTTCAAGAGCTCTAATGGTCCTGAAATATGCTGCAAGGCACAGAAGCATTTCTGCCTCACTGTTGGTCGGCTAACCTAAGGTAAACAGTCCTCCCAGGAGGAAGGACGAACGAGACGCCAAATTTTCTATAAAGCAACATATTTCAAGATCATTAGTGCTACAGAAACAAAAATATTTACCTAAGTGCCGTTCACCAAATAGTAATGCCTCTGTGCCTGCACGAGAGGAACTTGCTACTCACTCAGAACTGACTTCTGCAGGTACCACGTCAAAAGGGTTTTACCTACAAAGAAACAGAGAGTTAACTTGAAGGTTTAGCCTCGGCAACATAGAACACATCCTGACGTTATTTTGAGTGACAGCCCCGTTCACAGAATATGGATACAGCAATAGACCAGACAAGCAGTAAAAAAAAAGCAAAGTATACAACCTTTTCACAAGACGAGTCCTCTCCACTCCACCTACACAGATGCGCAATTTGATTGGCTCCCATTCTCCTAACAGAACTGTGTCAATAAATATATTTTGGTCACTTAATTTTTATTCATTTAGCACAAGTCGTGGAGCGGTGCGTCCACAACGTTTAAGACAGCTAACACAAAAAGAAGTTGAAATGTAGACCCCCTAGAGGACAGAGTCTGACACAACAAACAAAATGCCTCACGTGGTTGGAAGTTCTGTGTTCGATACAGTTAAAAAAAAAATCACATTTTTAAAAAAACTGTTAAAAGGTTATATATTATTGACAAAAAAAAAAAACCTAAATGAAACTAATAGATATCAAGGTGGAAATACATGGCGTTGCCTATGACCTAACACATCTGGATAATTTAAAATAGGCGACCAAGAGGTCTGTAGTCAACTCCCAGGAGTCCATAGTCTTTTCTCTTTTGTCTCCACCCTTCCATTCCTCTCAGTCTCTCCCATTCCTTTGATTCCTCCTCTTGGAATGCTCACAGACGGGGCATTAAAGTCCTGATGATGTGTTAAGTCCTCAGGCTTGAAGTCTAAATGTTAGTGTGTGTGTACTGCTGTGTGTGTCTGTGTGGAGATACACTGTGTGAAGGTTTTACTGTGTAAGTGTGTGTGTATGTAGGTCTGTCTGTGTGTGTGTGTGTGTGTGTGTGTGTGTGTTACAGAGGGGGATCAGGAAGCTGCCAAGGCCTTGATCAGGTACAGTTTGTCTCCCTGCTCACTGGTGAAGATGGGGGCTTTTTTGTAGTGTTCAACAAGCTCTTCCATAGAGTTGAACTTGCGCTGTCCGATGCAGTAAAGGTTTTCCTTCAGCTGCACTTTGAAATGCTTGTTCTTGCTCTGCGCCTTCAGGGAGATGGAGAAGTCGTTTGGCTGTGAAAAGGAAAAAGGAAACACTAATGTGAGCTTTTGGTTTCAGGTGACGGAGAACAACCGTAGAGGGCACGCTGGGTTACAGAGTTCACCAGGGCGTGACTTAAGTGACTCAACTTGAAGTGTTCTGTATTTACTGTTTTGCAAAACAACTGAATTTTAAATAAAGTGCTTAAAAAAATAAACCTTCAAATGTGCACCTGTATTACACCTGCAGATAAAAAGCTTCATGGTGAGTCAAATTAAACCAAAACTGCTTCACTGAATCCTTTCCTGTGCACAAACCCTTAAGACCACAACTATTAGATACAGTATGAAACATGAAGCACAAATACTAACTGTAAGATCAAAAGTTCAAACAACAGTGAAACATAAGTTCAACATAGTCTAACCTGGAAAATAATCCTCAATACAGCTACTAAAAGATAAACACTGTTAAGGAGAGATCACAAATAAAAGAAAAAAAATCTAAATAATCTAAACATCTGCCAAACAAGAACTAAAAGTTAGCTTAGCTAGATTTAAATTAGCCACAAATCAGCATTAGAAGGAATGCTGAAAGATATAAGTTGAAGAAATTTAAGCTAAGTAAAAAAATCACAAATTAAATCACACCCCTGGTACTGGTGCTCCAGGGCTCCCTCCTGTGGTACGGTGGTGAACCTGAATCCCACTGGAGTTAGTTGTAAAATAAAGCAGCTAAATGTTTTGATTTTGCTCTGTGCACAGGTGTGTGTCTGGTTTTTACTTTGTCAGTTGAAGTTCTACTCTATCATAATACTCTCAATAAGAATAAATTAATTATTTCATATACTTTGCTGCACACCAGTGTATTTATGTTGGTCAAACTGGTGTATTTGGAATTAGCAAAGTACACAAGGTAGTAAAAAGTTATACTGAAATACTGGACTACGTAAACGAAGAAAGCTAACAATATACGGTAATATGACTACGTAAACGAAGAAAGCTAACAATGTACAAGGTAAGTTAAAGCTAGTTAGTCCAAACAGTTGACGTAGGTTATCTACATCAGAATACAGACAAAGTTAGGAAGGAAGACGTGTAGTGTGTGAAAGGTACTGACCGATGACTCGCTGTCTCTGATGAGGAAGTCTCCCTCCGTGCCCCTCTGGTTGAGGGCCACCTCCGCCTGGTGACGCGTCACTTTGCCGTAGTACCACTCCTTCCCTGCGAATCGCCCGCTGCCTGAAGGCGAGATGTAGTCACAGTCGGGTGTGGGCGGCCCAGCGAGCCCAGCTGAGGGTTTATGGGAGGAGGAGTCCAGCACTGTGACGTAGTTCTTGGGCACCAAGCCCAGCTGTCCGTCCGCTTTGCGGCACTTCCACCACTCGGGGTCGTTCTCGGGCTTCTCCACCACCTCCATCACCTCGCCCCTCTCAAAGTTCAGCTCCTCGTCGTTGCCTGAGCTGAAGGGGTAGAGGGCCTGAACCGTGTGCAGAACCCTGTTTCCATTCGTGGTGCTGTTCACCACCGCCGCCAGCTTCTCCGTCAGTGACGTGACGGGATCGCCGCCCATGCCCCCGCCCCCCGCTGTCCCGTCCATGTCTTCGGTCACGTAGTTGGACGGAAACCAGCCCGACCGTCCGTTGTAGCTGCCGCGCCACCAGCCGTCGCTGCATTTCTCCATCACCACCACCCGAGTGCCTTTCACCAGAGACAGCTCGTCCTCGCGTTCCGCCGTGTAGCTGAACTTCACCAGGGCGGGCAGGTTGAGGTCGTACAGCCGCTCGCCGTTGTCTGCATACATGTCTGCGTCCACGTTGGACGCCGTGTCTCTCATCGGGCCTTTCCTGCTCTTTACCCTCGAGAACCCTGAGCAGACAAAGAGAAGAGAGCCACAATCATCATCTGCACTGAAACACCGCTGAGATTGAGGTCAGAAGGTAAATGACAAGCAGCCTGACGTGTTAAATTAGCACACAGACGAGCCTGCAGGCTCTTTAGTGTAAAGTCGTCATCTCACTAGAACACGAGCTCCCTGAAATCTTGATTTCACACATGAGCAGCGACAAGTCCCAACAGACCAAGAACCACAAGACAGAGAGGAAAGAAATCTCTAAAAAATTTCAGGAGCAGACGAATAAAAAACACCAGGCAGCGATGATCGGCATTAAGGGTTTGTTTAAAAGAACAGACCGTGGATGAATATCATTCCTTTTCAACAATACACTGCCCTAAACCCCTAACATTCCAAATCCAGAAACATTCTTTGGCATTAACGACTAAGGAAACAAAAACGATGTGTTTGAAAATGTGGGCCGTAAAACCTGTTTTGGCATGAGCTGGTGAGGTCTGTGGAAACTTTTTAACTAATCTCGCAGCACTCATCATTCATGCTCTGATACCTGTCTTTAATTTCTAATGCCAACACTTACTTTTATCCTTCTGTTCTGTGTAACCGAACTCCCCACCCTAACATTCCTTCAACTCCCTCAGCCCACTGAGTCAGCTGAAGTTGTACTTTTACTTCAAGTATTTTAATATTCAATCGGTATTAACTGTGGCAGATATATGTTGTGATGTTTGCTTCTTTCAAATATTAAAAAATATATTCTATATTAAATTTATTTTATAAATAAATTAAAATGTTTTTAAAAATTTAAATTTATTACATTAAAAAAATATTTTATATTAAAATATTTTAAAAGAACTGCTGACAACTGTCAATACTGTGGACCAGTTATTGTTAAGGACAACAACAAGTTAAGTGAACGACTCAACGTTTTCAACAAGTCGCCAGAGTAAATGACTAAAATCCACTGAAACACAAACATCTACCTGCTGATATTTCTCTTCTCTATTCCAGAATGATACAGAAAAGCTTCTTTTTTTTCAGATTTTCAGGGAAGCTTTTCTTTCAATTAATCACGATTAATCAATCAACTCCTGCTGGGACACACCGTGAAAGAACCGGCCCAAAAGCACACAAATTATATTTTGGTTTCAAATGTAAACATCATCTTCTTCTTGATGTGTACTCAAACTATTCTTCTGTTTGCGACAGCGACACAACATCACACTGAGTCCGGGTACAAATGCTACACTCTGTGGACCAGTGTTGACTGTGTGAAACAGTCCTGGTTCTGTGGTGGTTTATTGTCCCCACTGTATCCTGTATGCCACATTGTTTACACAGCTCGGGCAGCTCTCTCCATCTGGTCTACACACCCTGCACTGGTAACATAATCCAGATTATGGTCTGTCCTGTACCTCTACGTCAGCTGCTGGCTTCATGGCTGGGTGTAAGTCACACCATCTCTAAAGTGAAAGGGCAACACCAGACCCCGAGACTGAGACAGAGACTGAGCTCTGCCAGAGCGGCGGTCATCGTCTTACTGGACAGGAATTTCCACTTGGCAGCTGGGCATACAAACAGTTGTATGAAACACATGTGAGGGGAGCAGAGTGCAGCGCTGGGATCACACTTCTCTGCCTGTTATCATGAGTACTCACATCCTGAGCCAGCTAAAAAAAAAATGACAGGCATTGAGTTACTGGGGTTTTTTTCTAAGCCATTTGAAGCTAAGTGACATCGCACTTGTCACTGCAAGTCTGGGGTCTTAATGATGATGTGGGTGAAGCTGACAGCAGCCGAAACCAGACAGGACACTGATACCAGACACACTGAGCAGAGGAGGGCAGTGATTACATTTCTCATTACGTTTGCAAGCTTGGTACTCCCAATAATCCAGGAGTCAGCAGTGTGAATTTTAAAATTATACTTCCAGCCAGGGTGTAGTCCCATTGGACGCTACAGGTAGATTGGTGTTTGTTTTCTCTTTTGGCGCTGACTAATGTGTCACAACGCAGATGAATTGTTACTGAACAGTGTCAGTGACTCAGGGCGTGCAGACAAATTTCATGGTGGAGCTGGAGTCCAAAGTCAAATTGCTTCCAGGTAGACCCTGTTATTAGTCACACCACTGTACATAAGTACAGACTGCAGACGGGGTGTTAAAGAGCTGATGTCTGTCAGTCCAGGTAAGGTCTAGTCATCTGCTGAATGTGCAGCCAAGAACGTAGGGAGAAAAAAAAAAAACTATAAAACTTAACGTTAAAAACCTATAAAACTACATTCATGTTGATGCAACGGAGAAGCTTCAGAAACATCAGAGGATTTTTTTTTTGGCGCTGATGAAAGTGACACCCAACAACAGACACAGTGATTCCACTGTTAAAATATCAGATCTGTACGTAGGAGGAAGGAGGAGGAAAAAACATGTTGGTGCAGGTGCGAGCCCCCAGGAAGTGACTCGTGTACAGTTGGAATTGACCTAGTTAACTCTACACTAAGGTCAGAGTTCAGCTCTAGACAGATAAAGGCTCCTTTATCTCAAACTGACAACACTGTTTACGCTATCGTACACTGCAGATCGCGCTGTTTCCACATAAGATCAACAACACTGTTTACGCTATCGTACACTGTTTCCACATAAGATCGCACTAAAGTTTTGCATTTCAACCACACACAGCCCTGAGAGATTACCGACTCTGACCGGACGCTGAGTTTAAACCAGGGTACGAGAAGAAAGCTGGGATTTGTCTGCGCAAAGATAAAAGGGTTGTTATTGAGGGCAACAACTTCTCCCGGGGCATATCTGTCAAACTGTTGTTGGTTAATTGCGGCCAGTTCACTTGTGTGGCCAACGAGGAGAAATGTGAGTTACTGCTTCCTTTTGCAATTAGACGGAGGATCTTATCTTCCTCAACTGTCACAGTAAAGACCCCGGCACAGCACTCCTCGCCGTTTCTCCTTTTAGTGGACGCAGCTGCTTTCTGTTACACTGAACTAAACTGGGTGAAGTGCTTTGATTTTCTGCCAAGGCTTGTCAGTGCAGTGATGCTGAACTTCAGGGACAATATTTGGGCCTTTCTACATGCTGATCTTGGCAAGAGAAGCAGTGACATTTGGGGGCGTTTGCAAAACAATGTGTGTCGAGTGCAAACAAGTGGAAAAGAATGACACATTCTGGAACGACAAGTATGATGTAAAAATAAATGTGTGCTGATTAAAAACATGAACTGATTCAATTATTTGTAACCTTTTGGCTGAAAAAAGTAACACAGCTACAGTAGACAACACTGGACCAGTATAACCGTAGAAGAAAATCAATCTATCTCACATTCTCATGATTAGCAGTTAGCAATTTACCAGCAACAGAGGCCACATGGTATTATCTAGACCAGAAACGCAGTACAGAGTAAAATTATCAATGCCTAAAGGAAGGTGTTTTTTTTTCTCTCCAATAGACCAAAAATATATTTGGCCCAAAAGCTGCAACAAATTCTGCCTAATTAAAATGTGTCACCACTACCCACAATCCACTTCTCCACTATATGAGGTCTTAAGGGGAACAGGCAGATGTGGTATCTTGAGCCAAAAATACACTAAAATGACGGTACAATGGAATTGTTTTCTCTTATTCAACGTCACATGCTTTTTCCTGTGCATTTCCTGACAGACGGTGAGGAGAGAGGACGCTGCGTTCGCTCCGTAGATGTTTGTAAATCACTGCAAACAATGACAAAGATCTTAAGACTCATGTTAAAGCTCTTACCAACAAAAAAAAAGAGAGTGTTTATAGACGAGGCACAGGGAGTAGGAGGAGAGAAAAGAAAAGAAAGTGCTGGGGAGTTTCTTTAGCTACGATGACAAATTGATTTTTTTTTTAACTCTGGCTTCCCCACACTGACTGGCTCTCCATTGTCTGCCAAGACCTTCTCGACCCTTCAGCTTCCCTCCATTTCAGGGCTCTTCCTCTGCGGACGACAACACCCCGCGTCAGACTGTCTGACAGCACTTGAACATCCTCACACTTGAAAAGATCACAGACGCTGGAACAACTTTAGCAGCGACTTGTTAACCAACAGACAATAGAGGGAAAAAAACACACTCCTTAAACAGAGTATTTTTCCTAAAATATCACCAGCACATGGACAAACTCAGAAACTACTACTTTATCTCAGTTTTCCGTACACCAACAAGGCCTGGAACGATATTTCTTACTACTTAATTGCCGATCAATACTACAGGGCATCAGGAGCGGGTGTGCGACTCGTGTTCACCAGACATGTGACACCATGAAACAACCTTGAGCCATATGTTTGAGTGTGAGACTGGAGACTGGCACATAAACTTAATAACAGCACATGGCGTCAGAGAGAGGATGAGTCAAACCAACTACAGGGAACAAACACCAGGGTGAGGCGGCGTTTTCTCCAGCGGGGGTTGGCTGACAGTGACATTTAAAGCTACACTGAGATTATTACGTTTTTATTCAAAGGTGAACTCGTCATACTCAGCTCCATGACCTACAACGTGGCCGCGAAACACTTTAACATCTGACGTGTGCACGTTTGGTGGAAAACAAACAGCTGAATGCTTGTTTTCGGAGAAGAAAACTTCTGAAAAATTCTGAATTTGAATGTCAACGTTAGACTGAAAATATGTCTCGTCAGTGAAACACGTTACACACCAATACACACCATGTCTGCTTGTTGTTACTTTCAACAACATCTGTTCACACCAGCATTTTGCTTGAGATTTGTTTACTTCCTTCCATATCAACGCGTCCTAAAACAGACATCACATGACAAATAAACAGTACTGTGGTGGACTGGCTGATCTGTAGCTGCTAAAACAACTAGGAGATGAGAAAAAAAAATCAAACCAAAATAGTTTTCCTTACAAGACGATTTTATTAGAACCAAATGGACTGGCGTGAAGTCGTCCAAGGACTAAAGATTAATTTAAGATGCTGGTTACATGCTAAAGTCTTTCAGATTCCAGTTGGAGCAGTCCTGTTAATAAAACTCACAGGTGTCTGTGCACGGTCCAACTGGCTGCTGATCCATGTGCCTGAGCGTCAGTGCAGCATCAGCAACACGGGAAGAATCAGCTCCTGATTCCAGACCAGCTCCTCTTCTTTTTCAAACGATAAGTGTTTGTGCCAACAGTCAGCAGTTTCACTTTCTTTTCCGCCCATACTTGATCCACTTTTCTAAAATTATACTCAAACGCCCCAATTTTCAACATGTTTGGTCAAAGCCGGCACAGGTACAACTAGACCTCACATGGAATGAATAAAACAGGCCTCAGATATGAATCCAAATCACTTCGGATTACTGACGTAGTGACAAAATATATGACGTTGCATTTAAAAATGCAACGTCATTTCATGAACCATCCGGATTACTGACGTAGTGACAAAATATAAACTAATTTACAAATGTAACGTCATTTCATGAACCATTAACGATCCTCAACATTCAATACGTACTTGAACATTTCTTTATGATTATTACTTAAAGTAAAGCAGCCATTAAGACGACAATCAAAGAGCACTTTGTTGTTTTTTTGTATTCTTTTCATATTAGGTGGATCCCCGACATTTTGGTTTTCTGATGGTCAAACAAAATACCTCAGTGTATGTAACTATTGTTCTCTTTCAGCAGCTAATGTATTTACAAGCCTGGCTGCACTCCAACAAGCCCAGACCAATGTTCACTTCCTCTGTGCCATGGCAGAAGACAGAGGAAAACAAAGACGAGGCAGGACGAAGAGAAAAACATCTTAGTTCTAAGTGATGTTGACAACTCTCCTGCCAGGCTCTTAATTATAATTATGTCTTTTGCCTTTTTGGTTTGGGGAACAGCAGAGGTGGTTTGGAAAAAAACATGTGCGAGTTGGAGAAAGAAAGAAAAGACAGAAAGAAAGAGGGAGAAAAGGACCGCGACTGCCAGAAAGTCCAACTGACAAACTCTGCACGATGATTCAACTTCCTCTTGACTCCTCACTTCCTCTCTGGCCTGCTTTACTCCGCAGCTCGGAGTGAAATGTGGCTCAAATTAGTGAGTTTCCGCTCGATGAGGATGCTGAGAAACAGGAACACAGAGGGAGGGAACGGCAGAAGGAGAGCCAGAGGAGGCTAACCAATCCCTCCACTCATACACACATCATCTCCCTGTATTCTTGTCACTCTCTGGATCTTTAGAACCGAGAACAAGAGGCGTCCGTACAGCGGACAGACAGAGAGCCAGGAGATAACACTCAACAGTTACAAGGTGAGATCAGAGCAGCCGTGTGCGGCCCGGGGGTGGAGGGGAGGAGGGGGAGGAGGAGGGCTCGTATGAGAGAGTGTGGCGGTGTGACTGTAATGTATCCGCAGCCAAAGAGCTGCCTGGGTAATGACATTCCTCTGATAAGTGCGTGAGGTGCAGAAGATGGAAGCTCAGGTCCCATCAATCAGCACACGGCCTTTTCCTCCGCTCAGAACAAAGACTAGAGTGTTCTACAGGAGAACCCCGTGTCCCTTCAACTGTAGCTCATGACTAGTGTGGGGGGATGTCACCTCAGCAGACTCAGCAGAGCTGGCCCTGAGGGTAGCATAAAGGAAAACAGACTCTGGCTACGTCCTGAGATATTCTCCAACAGGGTGGAGACGGGGTCTTCCAGCATGGTAATGTAATCCAGTGGGTCGCAGCCCACTCAGTGGGACAAAATGCTGGAGAAAAAAAAGTGAAGTGGGATTACTCTGTGTGTGTATGTGTACAAGTGAGTGTGTGTCTATACGTGTTTATGTGTGTGTGTGTGTTTAAAAGAAAGACAGAGTGGATTGCTGAGTCAATTACAGGCTTGGGCTGAGCAGAAAGCTTTTCAAAAGCATATCCACCCAGTCTTTGCTGCCGCTCACACAGAGACACTGCCTCAAAAGCCTGGTAATTCTCCTTCTCCCTGCTTTCTGCCAACACAACATGTTAGCACAGAACTCCGTGTTTCCGCCCCGCGTTAAATATGACACATCTTTAGGCGCATCCAAAGCTGGCAGCTTAAACCGTAAGATTAAGGCGGAGAATTTAGAAAAAAAGAAATGCTAAAAACACCCCCACCCCCTAGAGAATGCTTCCAGCACGGGCAGGAGAGGAAACAGTCTAAACTCCAGACAAAAGCTCTTTTGTTCAACTTGTACAACAAATAAAAATATCCCTGAGTCACAACAGAAAGCTGGGAAAGTTGAAGACAAACTCACGAAAGAAGTGTTTGAAAAGGTTAGCCATGTCCATTTTGGGCTCGCCGTCTCTCCCCTCTCTCGCTGTGTCTCTCCCGGCCCCTGCTCTCTTCCCACTGCAGCTGTAGAGTTATTCCATTGGAACACCCAAAGAGCTGGGCGGACAGAGGAGCAGGGGCAGCCCACTCCTTCCAACCATGTGGTTTCCGCTCAGCCAATCAGAGAGCAGGACAGAGAGGCCTCGGAGCTTCAGCTCTAGAAAGCAGAGCACAGAGGCCTCATGGAGAGGGAGAGAAGGGGAGAAGGTGGGAGGGGGGAGCCGAGACACGAACCAACGGAGAGAGAGAGAGGAAAGAAAATAGAAATGAAAGAGGGAACAGAAAGGAGCGACCAAAGAGGAAGAGTGTGACTGATGTGTGCAGGGAAGTGTCGTCTGGGGAGACGTATGAAAATACTGGGAACTGTTGGAGGAGCAGCACAGGCGGAGTGAGTCAGTGAGCGCTCGGGGTCACATGACTGCAGTTGTTTGTAGAGACACACAAGTTTACAAAAAAGAAAAAACCAAGGGAACATAAGCCGTCAAACACACTGCAGCGTAAACACCGTCATCTCCAGGCACATCACATCCTTACACATTCTTTCTAACGATGACTCCACTCCACACCAGACAACAGGCTTGAGTGTGTGTGTGTGTGTGTTTTAAAAAAAAAGGAGGAGATAGAATTCTTCCTCCCACACAGGTCAGTGTGGTCATTTGAACACTTTTCTAACTGCTGTCTAAGATAAAGTGTTGACTGAAATATTATTTGAGTTTGACATGAAATGAAAAAAAAAAGATTGCTTCTGAATACACCAGATTCTCAATGATCTTAAATTTGATTTTTTTTTTTATGATTAAAACACAAGTGATCAATAAGTAAAAATAAGTTACCCAAATAATGTGTGGGTAATACTTCAAAAATGTTTTCCTCTGTATGAGAGCACTCCAACTGATATTAGAGGATCAAATGTTCCCAGACAGATCAATAATCTTGTCTTTTCATCTGAACTGCCATGTGCCGGTCAAAACCTTCTTCCTTCTAAAGTGTATCAATATAAATTTCCAGTGCACAGATGTATATAATTGGACCTACATTCAGGTTCCAACCCACTCTTTGTGAATAGTAGGGTCAGGTATTTACAGGCAACACGGTCTCTTTAGTGTTTTTACAAGACTTAGATTTGCCGTAACTAATGTTTTACATTAGTTTGAGTTTTATTGGATACGTGTAAGTGAAACCTACACCCCTTTTATAGTGTGTGTATATGTATGTGTGTGCGTGTTGCATGGTAATTCACGCAGCTGTTCACCTGGGGTCATTTGACTAAAACACACAGACAGGTGGCGTTGTTATCGGAGGCTCATGGCTACATCGCCTGGTTACATACACTCCAACACAAACGTAAACACACCAAATACACACTCCTCGTCAGTCCTACTGTCACTGGTTTGGGCAATTCAGGATTAAGGACTTCACTCGCCCCAACACCGCTTACTTACAAGAAACAACTGCAGCTAACAGGAAGCTGTAGATCCCAAGTTCAACAGATAAGTGTTTTGAAACCACTGCGTACATGCGATAACGGCAATAACCCAGCAACATCCTGGAAATACACAGCACAGTCATTCTCTGGCTCTTTCTGCAGGGAGAAGCCGCAGCGAGGCCTTCACAGAGGTGCCTGCATGCAGGTGTGTTTCGTCATCACCACATCAAAGCTGAGACGGAGAGACAAGGGCAACACTTGTCCTACTGACAAATGTGGTTTGATGCACAAAACCGCCGCAATACACAATGACCACCAATGCCTAGAAATATCCACACCGCACCGACCAGAGCCAGGAGATTTAAAATATAAATAATAATAATAAAAAAACTTAACAAGCAGCATAAACTTTTAGCCATTAAACTTTCAACTTTCTAAGGTAAGATTTACATTTAAATCTTTTTTTTTACATTAATTTACCAATTAACATTATTGTTCACCCTAGAATAATACACAGCAAAAATCAGATTTTTTTTACTTTTATGTTCTTCTTCAAAAATTTGAAATAGAACAATGAAAATTTGTAGCATCAACATTATTTATTATTATTCATAACTAATTATTATCAACCATGTGCTGAGTTGCTATTCAGGAAAGTCCAGGCTGGATGCCAGCGCTCAGAGAACGTTTCCCAAATTATCATGAATATCTGTCACCAAGAAAATTAAGCAGAGACAAATGGTAACCTTGGCTTACATACACTGTTACGTATGTCCCGGTGCTGGCAATGCACAGGCCTGAGTAAACGATACTGGCCAGGAATACCACTGCTCTGTCCAGACTGGAGACAACACATGTGCAGCTTTAATTCTTGCCATTATCACTACAGAGCAGGAGGAAATTATCTTTTACCAAACAGGAAGAAGAAAGTATGTAATCAATTCTCACTACACCATGATTTAAAAAAAGAGATCACACCAAAGCTTGAACACTGTAGAATAACTAGCAGTGATAATTCAGAAGATCATTGGAACTTTAGAAATGAGAGTTGTTTTGTTTATTTACCAAGTGTATCTTTGAGGTTCTTGACGATGGATGCTTTCCTGGCACTGTTTTTCCTCTCCACGTAGTTGGACGGCACAAAGCCTGTTTTGTTGGTGGCATTTCGGACCCTCCACCAGGACTTGGAGTCGTCCAAGAGCCAGAGGCGCTCGTTCTTCTTGATGTCGAGCTCCTGGTCCTGCTGGGCCATGTAGTCGAACTTGGCAATTACTATCACCTCTTCGGTCATCTTGAACTAGAAACACAGATGGTGGAAGAAAAAGAGAGGAAAAAAGTGAAATAGTGTATGTATAACGGAGACAGCATGATGCAACACAGTGGGCTTAACAAAAGAAATATAATTAGAAATTTGTGTAATTTTTTTTTTTTTAAAACAGAACTGTTTTACTGCCTGCAGTCTGTTTCCTGATTCTCCTAATCAAAATAACCCTGGCATCGTCAATAGCAGACAGATAAGTGCACACATATACGGTATATTTTTATTCTTCTAAAATATTATTTTCTAAAAGGGCACCAAATTCATACAGTTATTACATGTTAAGAAATGTTGACTGACGACTCCAGTCCCCTGAGCCTGCAGGACCTACATACTGATTTTATATTTGTGCTGACTGCTCCAAACCCAATATCTCACAAAGCTTCACAGTTAGAGTTAATATATACACTGCACATGGATAAACATAGCTGTATGTACCTGTACTGCATCAAAGCTGAGAACCTGAAGAGCTGTGAGAGTCTCTGTTGACCTAGAAACAGAGAACAGGGAAAGAAAGGAATTAAAATGAGGTCCTTCCCGAAACCCTCTCTCAGACTTTTCTTATTACTCCTCGGAATAACGGACACATCTACCATTTGTTTTTCTGTCTTTAATTTTTAACATCTACCCTATGTTGTAATGTCTTAATCACACATGTCTGCTGAGAAATGGAAAGTTTGATCCCTGTATAACTCAGCCAGGCCAAAACTCTGATGAACGTCAGCCTTTACTTCCAGACTTTAGTCTGTTCAAATATAACACACAAGCACAACTGTGAACTGTTTAGGCTGTGAGATGATATAGCTATAGTCTACAAGAATTTGCTTTTTTTTTTCCCCCATAAAAATTACAGATGATTTTCTCTAAGCCGAATAAAAAGGGACACTCAGTGTCAGGAGTTTTGATTTGTCACAGAAAAGACTGTGAGCTTGAATGAATTGCTGGTCCCTTGACCCATTGAATCCTCTCTGGTGGGGTATAGTGCTCACTGAAGTCTGCAAAAAATAAAAATAAAAAATCTGCAAAACCCAGAGCACATTACGATTGTACTGCAGTGTTTCTCTAGTGGCCCTGCAAACAAACTTCTCTATTTCAGCATAATATCTTAGCAGACACAGATGACTACCAGCACATCAAAGAAAAACTGTCAACACGTTATATAAGGTTTATTTACTTGTGTGTGTGAGAGAGAGTAGAGTGAGATACACAACTGTTGCTTTTTCACTCGGGGGAAATATCAAATTACATATCATACCAAAAAAAACTTTAGCAGAAAAATAGCAAAATATAATTTTTGAATCATATCGCTCCACCCAATAACACATAATGCATTTCACCTCTGAATAGTCCAGCTTGTCACATAGAATTTATACAAACTTGATTTTTGGAAAAAGTGACAGCCCAATCAATGAGCACCACTGACATGGATTATGAGAATAAGGAGGTAAAATGAACAAAATTAATAAAGTCAGGCTCCATGATTATGAGAATAAGGAGGTAAAATGAAATTAATAAAGTCAGGCTCCACTGTTGCTCACATGAAACTTCTTGTTCATCTGAAGTTATGACTCTGGAGCGCTTAGAGCAAAAAAAGCAACACAAAAAAAAACTGTTCAAGCTGAACAATATGCACATTCACCAGCAACTGGTCTCATGACCCAAGTAACGATAAGCACAGACAGAGTGTGGTTTGGTGAAATTGCTGATTCTCAGGTCAGTGCTGAGGGACTGAGGCCTTACTCTGGCTGCTCTGATGTCATGGGAGTGGATGGAGTTTCACCTTTCCCCCCCTGACCGACTTCTGGGACCAGACACTGACCTCATTGATTGAGAGCTTTAGGTTTTTATTTGACGCAGCGGTGTCTAATTTTCAGCCGCAGCTGGCCTTGAGATAAGCCCGCAACAACCTGATCTTAGACAAACAACAGCAGGATGGGGAGGCCATGTTTACCCCACAGCTGCACCGACCTGAGCAGGGGAAAAAAAAAAAAGATATATAAAAAACTAAGAGCTAACAATTTTAGCCTGAATGTGAAGAAAAGTACAATGTCTCCTAGCTACAGTTTTTATGGATGAAACCGTGATAGATTTAACCCCCGATGTTCATCTGTAATTTCCCATGTGGGCTGTTGTTGACTTAATTTAGGAAAAGTAATTAGGGTATGTGCTGTATAATGTTGATCTCATGTCGTGTCATTGTCTGCTCTTTTCCTGCTAATTAAATTAGAGAACGCTGGGATTAATATTTGAAAAGCAGCCTACAAAGACAAAAGAATTGATTTAGGCTTTTACAATGTTGCCTCTCAAACCAGAATAAAGACAACACTCCCTGGGCTGGAGCAGATAACTGCCAAAGGGGTTGAGAAGCGTGTCCTTCTTCTCCATTTACAACATCCCTCTCTAACTTCACCTTCCCCCGCCCCCGCTCTCTACTTTCCCCAATCGTGCAAAACAGACTCATCAGTGTGGAGTACTGTCCCTTTCTCAGTTATCTCCCACAAACACATTGTATCCTAGTCTTATTTCTTTTTATTGCTACCTCCCCCACTCCCACCCTCCCCTCCACTGTGTCTAGGGTGGCTCACCACCACTAAGTGCACATTAACACTAAAGTGACTTACGACGGTGCAGATGTGAGGGAGGATCAAAAACTTGGGTGACAGATGCTCCGAGCTAATCACGCAGCTGCAGCCTGAGCCAAGGCCACTCGCCACTAAATCAAGGTCAGACAGGTCAAACTGCTCAAATGGTGTCACATTCACGTCCACTGTGGGTCTCCGTTTACTTAACTGCTGCCTGGCAGAATTAACAGGTACTGCAATTTATCAACACCCGTCGTAATGCAGTATGGTTTACAAAAAATGTAGTACTCCATTGTGGTATTGGGCATCAATGATGTAATGGTGTCATTTAACGTTCCTGTTACTGCACTATCAACTTGAAATGCTGATACACTCATAAGATCTGAAGAAGCTTTGAAGAAGTTATGCAGCCACTTCAACTCCAAATAGCACAGGGGCTAAAACAAGATTAGCATTGGACAAGCATTGTTGTTATCAACACGTGTGAGCAGACTGCACAGAGTGGTAACTGATCTGTTCACATTAAAGCAAGAGAAAGTCATATGTTCCTCTCCAACTGCCGAATTAAATGATACATAAGGTTACACACAGGTACTCTGTGGAACTACAGTAATTAAGTTGGATATTTAATATTTTCATTGCAATTACTTTCAACTGATTTACTTTGGGGAAATCATTTATAATTTAACCAATCAGGAGGACTGACCTGTATATTTATCTTGTTGACCTCAAAACCTGTTCTACCCACAGAGATAAGGTTTATCATCAAAGGACTGGTTCCACGATGTGACTGTTGCATTCACAATTTAAACAGTCCCACTTTTTTTTCTTATTAAACCACTCAACATATTATTCAAAAATTGCATTTAATTAACAGCTCAATGTTTTGGGCATTTTCTTGGCCAGTTCCAGATGTAAACACTTTCATTGTCCATCTATAAGCCACCATCAGGATGCTTCCAGGATGTAATGACTAAAATCTTCTTTATGAGATAAGGAGTGTTGGATATTTGTATTGTATTGACTTGTCCATCTATAAGCCACCATCAGGATTTGCAGGCTTGCAGGATGTAATGACTAAAACAGGTGTGAAACACATATCTATCTGCTGTTGCCTTTCTGTTTACAAATAAAAACAAGTGTGAAACACATATCTCTGCCTTTCTGTTCGCTGTTGCTTTCACGACAGTTTAAACAGTCCCCCTTTTTTTTTTCTTATTAAACCACTCAACATATTATTCAAAAATTGCATTTAATTAACAGCTCAATGTTTTGGGCATTTTCTTGGCCAGTTCCAGATGTAAACACTTTCATTGTCCATCTATAAGCCACCATCAGGATTTGCAGGCTTGCAGGATGTAATGACTAAAACAGGTGTGAAACACATATCTATCTGCTGTTGCCTTTCTGTTCTGTCACAATTAACCATGATTCATTAATTAAAATGAATAGTTTAAAAGTGCTTCCATCTACATAAATGTATTGAGAAAACACACTAAATAGTGTACTTTATGTTATACAACTGTCTTGAAAAAAAGTAAGTACAAAGAGGTGTCAGTCTGATTAAGTGGATCCTTCTTATCTACAGCCATGGCAGCCGTTTTGGACCGGTGACAGATCAACCAGTGTAACAATCAGTAACCCACTCATGTTCTCAAGAGTGTTAACACTGTTCCCACGAGGAGTAGACCATTCATCCTATACGACACTGTTAAATATAGGTTGGTGAAACTTCTACGTAGGCTGTTAGGTGTCAGGAAATATCTTTCCACTATTTGTAAAACTGAAAGAAGTAACTGTGAACCAACGATGCTCCACAAACCACATCAACTGCACAACGGGGTGTCACAGAGATGCACAGTGCAACCTTGCATATTCGAATGCTACTATGAAACAACAGTGAGACAAGTTCACCACATCCTGCACTCTGCAGCTGCTGCCTCGATCCAGTGTGAATGTGCAGGGAAAACATGCACATGCTCTCTCATAAATGGAGAAACAGCACACCCAGAGGCCTGTCTGATAATGCACAGGGACACTACTACGAGCAGGAAAAGGAAATAGCTGGAATATTATCAGTGCTATGTTCAGAAATGTTCAGTGTGTGGACAGACCTGACTGTTTAAACAACTGACACAATAGGTTCTTTGGAAGAATGGTGTCAAAACAACTGGATGCTCCGTCATCTGCGCGAGTGAGGATCATTTGTCTTCTCTGCAAGAGCCAATAATGTATCTGTGCTCAGCAGGATTGCTGAGGCACTGAGCCCGCCAGAGCATGAGCTCACAGAGGCAGACAGAGTAACCTAATCCCTGTGACAGGCTGCTAAAATCACAGGGCTCTGCTGCCTTCAGGAATGTGCTCTCTATGCTCAGTGCTCACTCAGCTCCTCTGGCACGGCCGCATTTCCTACGATCGACACCAAAACTTACTGTTGAGCCTGAGGTCTGCTTCACGAACAGGCAAGGAAGACTGTAGAATGAATGTTTTTTTGGGGTTTTTTTTCCATATCGTAAGTGAAAACCATGAGACTGCATCTCCTCTCCAGCTGTTATACAGTCTCTCAAAACAAAACAGCAGCACAGCAGCAAAGGGTCATGGGAGTCTTGGCTGGCCAGCTGTGAGACAGGAAATGTGGACACAAAAGGTGACCGGATGATGGTAAAATGATGCAATCTGACAGTGTGCGGGCTTGACTCTCCCTCCTGCGTTTAGATAACGTATCACTGATTTGCATTGGTGCGTGTGATTAGTCCTATTAAAGACACATCATGTGTGAGAAGAAATCTTTAATGTTCTCCCTGAAAGAAACAACCGTCTCTATATTAGATTGTTGAATTGTTTCTGCGTGTAATTAAAGCCTAATTAGAGGCAGAGTGGCCTCCAGTTGTTTTGGGCCATCCATATT